TCAAGCGGTTTATCACAATGAGATCCATCCCGGAAGATTTAACGACTCTCCTTTCAGGTACTATCGCAATATTTGGATTAAACAACAGTTGATAAAGCAAACTTTTAGGGCTCGAGCGCAATCAGAATATATTCGATTTTTTTTGTCTCTACATTGATTTCTGTTCATACTTGGCTGAAAAGAGGAAGTTTAGTCTACCGACAGACGCTGAGAATATTTCCCTGTAACGTTAGTAAGAGCATAAAGTGGTCTTTGTTTACTTTTTCTGAAGAGGAGGCTGGGCGTGAAAAGATTTATTTTGTGTTTTAACGTGTTGTTTTAATTATTAAGTCAGCAACAGGCATTAAAGTTGAGAGTTTATGTTGTTAAGATTCAACTGCAGATGAAATTACTATTTTTCTAGTTCTCTAAAGTTTGAGTCGGTAACATTAAGAAGCGACGTTTGAACACGGTAGATAGTATAAATAGAACAAAATAAAAACAAATAAAAGACTGCAAGTGACGTAGCTAGCGGAAGCGCAAGTGTCTGAGAGTGCAAGCCTGAGAATGCACGTCTGAGAGTGCAAGCGCCAGCTGCAGCCAGACCCTTTTGGGCTGACCAGCTACCATGTTCCAAAAAGCAGATTGACAGTAGTTGTTTCTGGCTAAAGACCAGTTTAAGATGTGTTTTCCATCAGGGATGTAGCCTAGGCTATATTTGCCATTAAACTGATCAGATTGTCATCAGTTTGGAACAGTCGAAAGTTATGCTTCTCAAACAGTAGGCTAAGTGCACCTGTTTGCTTAAACCTAGGCTACCAATTGAGTTCAGGAATTCAAGAAAGGCTACCCTCATAAAACAGTGTCTGTTTTCAGATCTGGAAACCTTTTTAACGGATGTCCTTAAAGGGGAGACTTTGAGCAAAAAAGCAAAAGAGAAAAAGGATGCCTTCATCAAGCGCATTAAAGATGTAAAAACGAGGTACGGCAGAATGTGTTCATGTAATAACTATAACTATTACCTGATATGTTTGTGACTCTATGGATAGTATTAAACAAATCCAAATTATTTGTGTTCCAGCTACTCTCAAGATTTCAAGGACAAACGTAAGTTAATTTTGATGTGCTTGTAGTATGCTTGTGTTATATGCGTGTGTCTGGGGGAGGGGCTAAAATTCAAGCATGGTGAAGTAAACTATACTTCCCCCAATATGCTGTAGTCTACTGTGTGCTTCACTCTGTCCTGCTTAGCTTTCATTCTGAACATTAGAACTTTAACTCTTCATGATATGTAAACATCTTTGCATGACTAATGTGTGTGTGTGTGTGTGTGTACACTGTTTCTCTTCTAATGGGAACACATAAACAGAGTGCTTTAAAAATAACATTTAAATCACCACATAACTGTTCACAGATCAGTTTTGTGTTTCCTATAAATTTAAGGTTGAGATGTGGGTAGAGGGCAGAGTTTGGTATAGCGCTTTACAGCGGCACTATTACCACATCACAGTGTGAACAGGAAGTTCTTTGCTCAAATTCAACATTATGGCAGAAACATATGCATCATTTTTGCTTTTCCATCAGCTCTTTAATAGTAATTATATTGTAAGGGAATGTGATTCAATCAGGCTATAGTGTTACAAGAGATCTGTTTATCTTCCATATTAAAAGAAGAGTTCACCCAAAAATGAAAATTTGCTGAAAATGTACTCAGCCTTATGTCATCCAAACTGAGCTAGTTTCTTCATTTGAACACATTTGGAGAAGTTTAGACTTACATCACTTACTCACCAATGGATCCTCTGCAGTGAATGGGTGCCTTCAGAATGAGAGTTTAAAAAGCTGATCAAAACATCACAATAATCGACAAGTAATAGACACCACTCCATCATTTATTGTCTTGTGAAGCGAAAGCTGCATGTTTTTACGAAACAAATCCATTATCAAGGCATTTTTTACTTCAAATCATTGCTTCGGTTTGATTAATGAATGGAAGTTGTGTGGATTATTGTGATGTTTTTATCAGCTTTTT